TTTTTTATTTTATGTGAGAAATACAGCTTGTACAGAGTTTTTCTTGATTATCTCAACTGTGTATTCTGAATTATGCCCTTCTTCCATCCAACCCCTCAATTGTGATTGAAATTATCAAATTGTTGCTCTATCAAACTGAATTATTGTACAACATGCTACACTGTTGTAAAATGTGTGTACAATAGCTTGTTGTTGACCAATTATAAATAAATAAATTCCGTATTTTATTACACGTTTGTAGTTATGTTACAGTTATTTTATAAAGATAATTACTTTTTCCCCCCCCCCCTTCATATAATGAGCCTAGAAACAAGATAGGATCTAGGAACTACATTTGGTATTTGGTGTTTATCACTGACTTGCTGCTAAAGAAAGAATTAGTTGCACAGATCTACATGATGCGTAATTTCAAATGATAAAAAAACATACATTATTATACTCAGATGAACAAATGTTTTTGAGGGAATTTTGGTGGGAAAACGTTTATTTCTGCACAAATTCTTGATGATTTCTCTTCTTCCATAACATCCAGAAGCTTGTGTTATAGTGATTCAAAGAGCTGCAGATTTTGAGACTGATGGAATTGAGGTGCAAATTACAAGTGTCCTGTGTCACACATGATACTGTGGTCACACCCAATTTTAGGCCATCAAGATCTTAGCCCATCAGCAAGAATCACATATGACAATAATAACTTGCTGAATCTCAACAGCACCTGAGCCTTGGAAATGTGCAAAACTGTTTTGTAGAAATACAAGCCGAGATGTAATTGAAAATTACAAAACACACTTTCTCTGAGAATCTATTCTCCTGAGGCCAAAACAGTAACGGATACCTATTGCTAATATTACGAGGAACATGCATGTATGATTTTTTAACACCTGAAATGACTCGCCCTGTACTTGTTAATTCCAATGGAATGCATGGAATCAAACAATTAATTTTCTCCTTGAAATTCGTAATTGAGCTTAATATCATGTCCCTTTTGCTACATTATTGTTAAATTCAAATAAATATCCGACAGGATAGATGTTACTGAGTTCAGAAAATAGTAATCAAAAGGAAAATTTTTGAAGGGGAAAACAATTAATTGGTGGTTCTAGCACATCAACTGCTAATATTATTAGTTCCAAAACAGTAGAGCATGTTTTTATCATGAGAAGTGACGAGATCTGGAACTGGCCTACTCAACTGCTTTTCCGAATTTCCCCAACCAGGTATACCCAATTATCCTACAGCCGGGATAAGCTCTAAGCTCCTGACTGGTCTCCCGGCATATGTGGTAGTGTAGTGCACGTAAGTTTAGTAGTAGTAGTAGTAGTAGTAGTAGTAGTAGTAGTAGTAGTAGTAGTAGTAGTAGTAGTAGTACTAGCAGTAGCAGTAGTAGTAGTAGTAGTAGCAGCAACAGTAGTAGCAGCAGTAGTAGTAGTAGTAGTGAGTAAGGAGTGAGGGCAAGGCAAGAAGAGGAAGGAAAGAGCACATGCAGTTTTTGGCATTTGGCACACATTTGATAGGGTACTGCTCCAGCATTTGCCTGGTGTTGATGGAAAACTACCAATCAGAGCAGGTGGATGCTAGAAATCTCCTCCAGACAGCGGCTAAATTCAACCTAAATATCTAGCTATTGTCGAAAAACCCTACGACCTCTTGATCAGAGGCACTGCAGTAACATTAATAAATGTCCTGAGCCACCTAAGTTGGTTAATGCAAAAATAATAAAGGGGCTAGACCTTGCCTATATTCATCTATGCGTTAGTGTTCAATAACAAAATATCACTTTGCCAATATTTCAACACTACACTCTATACAGTATTATTCTCAAACTACACTATGCTTCACAAAATTAATTACTTAGATGCCCAAGATAAAAAGGATATAGAGTATTAGGAGATAATACATATACACACTGCTTTGCCTGCTGTAATTCAAATTCCACATCTCGAGGGCTCCGGAATATTTGGGACAATCTCCTGCAGTTGACAGCCTGAGCTGCTGGGATTCGCTTTACATTTCATTATTTCTCTTTCAATTTCTCAATGTTAAACCAGCAGTAACCACTAGAGAATACCGACTTTCAGAATTTAATTTGTGACATATCAAGTTGGGATGAAAGAGCAACAAAAATTAAATATCTGTACAATTTTCAAATGCAAAAATTGAGCTTTCAAACCAAAGGAAAATAGCACTTTTAAGACATCCATCGACCCTATGCCCTTGAACAATTACGTCAACATTTTCCCTTAAAATATATGTATAAAAAAATGTATAGGAAGCCCAAATATTTTGACGATTATCTTTATAATCTACAAATCAAAGATCATTTAACCTGAAACACATTTAATTTATTAAAACAAACATTTTAATAATATTTATGATTTTTTAAAATAACCTCTATCTGTCAAAATTAAATTTTTAAGGGGGAGAAGAAAGTGCGACTTCAAGCACTAGCATAAAAATAATTTTTGATGATTCTTTTTTTGTAAGCGATTATTTAAGTTTTTTAAACTGCAAGTCAGTTTTAGCACAAAATGAAAACAGTGCCCTGAAAGTTTTTCTTAACATTTGTCATTTGAATTCTTTCACAACATCCCCTCAATAAAATAATGACCAAATCAATGTCTCCTTTACTTACTATATTTCAAATTATTTAAAAATGACTTGTTGAGACCGAGACAAATTGTGATAATATTACAACACGATTATCTTATACTATGGGGATTATCACTAAATCTGACTTGAATAAACAAAATGTTTATTGTATTATGGATATTTACACAATATCCATATTATTTATTAGCTAAACAAAGAGACAAACCTTGAACAAGTTGTTGCAAAGTAGCAATCTCTTCCTGACACTTTCTTTCAACTTCCTGTTCACATTCCATACGCAATCCTGCAACCAATAACTGACTTTTGGCTTCACCCAATTCCATATTAAGTTTTTTCACTTCATCAAGAAGTCGTTTGTGTTCTGCACTCTCTCGTTTAAGTTCCTCTACAACAAATATTATTCAATAATCAGTGAAACTGCTACTAGAAAGAAAAAAAGAAAGAGAGAGAGCTATTGTTAACAAAAAGGTAGCCAGATAATGATGAAAAATATTTAAAACCAGTATGAAACCTAAAGCGTGAAGAGCAACAAGAACTAAAATGAGAGAATGAAAACAATGTGGAAGAATAAAGGAGAAGGAATAAAGACAAAAAAGGTCTAATAATGACACAAGTAGATATGCGAAAGATTTTTCCCTTTCCTAATTCTGATATTTTGGCTTCTTTTCCCATGATTTTTAAAATTTTTATCATTAGAGCTCAGATTTCTATGCAATAAAAACATCTCAAATATGCCGCATAATATGCACAATAAATTTTTAAAATACCCAATAAATATATATAGAATAAAATTTTCAAGAAAACAAATGTTCATTCCGAGAATGCACTACAATTCACAAACTTGTAGAAAAATTGGAACTGTGTTACAACAGTATTGCCTCTTAAAAACATGCACACAAAAAGTCATTGGTAGAATAATATTTTGAAAATAACTTTATTTGTTAAATTCAATTAATTAACCATTCATTTGAATGACGTTATTTGTTCATTTCCGAACATTTGGGAATGCCGTCATGGTATTTTTATATATTGGGCATGCCTGTGCACTGACAGATCCAGGGAGAGGCCATGGCCCCTTCAAAAAAGCCTAAAGTTTTTGTTTACCATCTATTATTTGGCAAAATGGATTTAATTTTTCTTTTATGCTCAAATGATGTACTGCTTAAACAATAATATTGAATAGTATCATACCTACAGTACATAAATAATATACAATATAATAAATATATTTATTGTTTAAAAAAAATCTACAATGTAACAAGGACTATTACGGAAAATAAACAATTTTTACATAGACACATCTAAAAGTATGTTATCTTGAATTGGAATCTAAAACCTCAAGAAGACAGTACAATGAAATGTCAAAACGTAAAATAACACGAAAAATGTCAATATTCCCTAATGAAATAAATATGAAATGTATTAATTGGTGTATTAAAATTCTATTGTCTTAAAATGTTATTATCCATCCAAACTGCACATTACAATTTATATATATAAGGGTTATAAAATGTACTCTTTTGGTAAAAAATTCACTTGAATTTAATATTAATCATACAACAAACCGGTACCTTCTTTCTGCAAATACATCTCCTTCATTTTTGCACGCTGTATACCAAATTCCTCTCTTATGTGATTTTTTTCCGATTCCAAAGATTTTATTGATTCCATAAGTTCTTTTATTTTATTTTCGAGATCTGCAGAAAATGGGCGTAATTAATATAAATATACATATTTGAATGTAAGAGAAAAAACACTGCAGACAACTATGTACCATTTTCAGCACAGAGATTGTCACCATCTGTAGCAGTATCCATCTTAAATATATTAAGATATTGTAAATGTGGTCAAAGTCGATGCAACTAATGCCACACCTGAGATATAATTATCGCATTGTTAGGTATTTTGAAAACGGACTATGAAACTGCCGAAATTCCCTCACAAGAGTGCAGCTTTCCGGTATACTATATGAAAATGCAATTTTAACTAATTTTGGTAAAATGTTCTCGGCCAAGATAACTGTCAGTTTGCCTGACAGTTTAGTTAGAAATACCGTACTGCGGAAGGCCGGCGTGACACTATATTTTCACGTATCCTTGCAACACAGGGCAGAACACCACTTGATATTACGTTGATTCATGTTTGTCAGTTTAAGGTCAAATTAAAAAAAAAACACCAAATTACACCTTCACGTCACGTACATCAATTACTATTTTTAAGAGTCAACTACATAAGTGCGCATTCGAAATAGTTTAGTTTACAACCTCTTTACTTATTTCCCATTCATTCGAAACTCGAACTGCGCATGTGCACAGGCTCTAAAGTGGTGTGAGTGGTGTAATATACTGTAGTATACGATAGTTACGTACTTGACATAAATCCGGTGTTGCCGTTTCATCCAATCGAGTTCTTAACGTTGCTTCAGTGACGTCACTACGAGAACGTTCAAGCTCGCGATTGGATGAAATCATGAACAGCTGATTTACGTACAGTGCGTAGTTAAATAAAACCTAATGTAGACTCTTTCTGTGACGTATATACCAATTCCATTATAGAATCTTCTACAGTTTGTTAGTAGCATAGACAAACAAACGCGGATACTCTGTGGCTAGTTGGACGTTATACAAATGAGAGCTTCATAATTTTCACCATAGTTTCCAATCAAGAGCTTCACAACAAATTTTTCGCATTTAAGCTCCGGATTGATTAACAGCGTTCCAGCTAATTAAAAGTCAGAAATCATTACAATTAAATCGGAGAATAGAACGAATTGACAGCCATCAGCCAAGACAGTTATTCAATCGAGAGCGCTTTTACAATTAGTTTTTAATATTGATGCTCTCATTTAGAGAAATGCGCCCTAGCCGATTTGATACGATTTGAAAACAATTTGTATTAATTTCATCGCGTTATATATTAAAATTAATCATAATGAAAATTAGTTGGCTGCACCTAGTAATAAGATTGAGTGTCAATAATTTTTACGCGAAGTAAGTAAGCATTGCAAGAAAATTTCTGACTATTGTGCACGTTGTCGTAGAGTACGAATGGGTGAGAACCTAATGTGTTGTACTCTAGAATAGAATACATCAGTTTCGTGTATGTATGTATATTAGGGTGTTTCGAAGAAAAAAAATTCGCTTGCTACCCTCCAGAATTAAAGTTTCACTTGAAAAAACATGTCCAGGCACCCTAAAAAGATTTTTAAATT